CCTCCTCCTCCTCCTTCTCCTCTCCCCCCTCCTCCTCCCCCTCCCCCTCTTCCTCCTCCTTCTTCTTCTCCTTCTTCTGTATTGGAGATTGAACTCACGGTCTTCACACTGAAGTACATCCCAGCTCCCACCTCTTTTTTTGAGCCACGGTCTCAGTAAGTTGCCCAGGCTGTGCTCAAACTTGCAGTCCTCCTGCCTCAGCCTCCCAGAGTGCAGGCCGACACTGCCACACTGCCACACTGCCACACCCAGCTGGGATCTCAGTTTTCCAGGAGCGTGTCCAGAGCGCTGGGGTCTTTCCACACAGGGTCATGAAAGGCTGCATGGAGGCCCAGGCCCCTCCCCGTTGAGGTCCTGCAGGGGAGGCCTGAGCAGCCTCTTCCTGTGCCCTGACACACACCAGGCCTGCTGCCACCTCCCAGGGACATGTGAGGACAATGGAGAGAACAAGAGGACCAGAGAGGAGCCTTCAGTGAGGGCCTCCTGCCTCTGTCTCCCTTGCAGCTTAAAGACTGGGACAGACAGGGCCTCATGTCCCAGGTTCTACGGTACCACATGGTCGCCTGCCACCAGCTGCTTCTGGAAAACATGAAGCTGCCCCCAAATGTCACCTCCCTCCAAGGAGAGCCGATTGTCATCTCAGCATCCCAGGTAAGCACAGCCACCTCAGGGAGTGGCCCACTCTGGCCTCCTTCGGGTAACGTCACAAGCATGATAGTAAGGACGTGGCGGAGACATTTCCATGTTTTACCTCAGCTGATTCATTTCCTCCTCAAAATCACGGCGTGACATAGGTGTCCCTGCTATTGCTGAGTTCCACATAAAGAAAACGAGCTCACAGAAGTTAAGTGATCTGTCCAGAGTAGCACATCAAGAGAATAGTTGGGCTGGGATCTGAACTCAGAGGTAGGCAAAGAGGAAAGAAGAGGGGGTACTGGAGGGGACACAGTAAAAGGAAACCAGGAAGTGGGGTGTGGTGTGGTGGTGCACGCCTGTAATCCCAGCCACTTGGGAGGCTGAGGCAGGAGATGGCTGTGAGCGCAAGGCCAGCCTGGGCTACTTAGTGAGATCCTGTCTCAGAAAAACCACAATCAATCAATCAATGCCAAGAATAGGAAGGGGACAGAAGGGTACAGGGGCCTGATCAACAGTGTGGATGCCACAGTTAATGCCATGAAGGTAATTAATGCGTAAGAAGGCAATTCTGCACTGCCTGTTCATCTCATATTTCGCAGTCACACTGGAGCAATTATCTTGACTGACTCTACGTTATTCACTAGCTTCTCCAGGTTAAAAAAAAAAAAAAAAAAAACAGTCCTGTTTTCTTGTAAATTTTTTTGCAGTACTGGGGATTGAACTCAGGACCCTGCGCTTGCCAGGCAATTGCTTACTCTACTGAGCTATCTCCCTGACCCCTTGTGTCTGCTTCTTTGCTTTGTGTTCAGTTTCACCTCGATTGGATTCAGGACACCATGTACATTAACAAGAAGGCTAAGGTCATATCCAGTAACATCATCTGCACCAATGGAGTCATCCACATCATAGACAAACTGCTGTCTCCTCAGAACCTGCTCGTCACCCCCCGCGACGCCTCAGGAAGGATTCTGGTGGGTACATGCGTGTCCCCTCCCGGCGCGGGTGGCTCGGAGTCTATGCGCCTCAGCTCTGACCTAGGCATCACTGGGGAGCTCTGCGCTCCTGCTGCTTCTGTTGCAAATTAGCCTTCAAAGCCTCGTAAATGTTATTAGGAAGAAGTAAAAAGCAAAAGGTCTACTTGAATCAATGCATGTACTTTAACTGGGTGCAGTGAGCATCTAGTGTCCTAGCTATTTGGGAGGGCTGAGGCAGGAGGGTCCCATATGTCCAGAAGTTCAAGACCAGCCTGGGCAAGATAACGAGACCTTGACGCATAAAAAAAAAAAATTACAACTGGACTTGGTGTTGCTTCCGGGTGTGGGTCAGCTTTCCCAGTGCGGGAGCAGAATGCCTGGGGCACACAACTTAGCGGAGCAGGAGGATCACCTGGCCAGGGCTCGGAGGTTCTGGTCCACGTTGGCTGGCTGCCCCTCTGTGGGTGTGAGGAGCGGCAGGAACATCATGGGAGAGGGCGTGGAAGAGGAATGCTGCTCAGCACAGGGCGCAGGAAGCAGAGGACGGGGAGAGAGTCACACACACACACACACACACACACACAGAAGCGTGCTTGGCTAAGGCCCACGGCATCTCTCAAGACGTGAAGTTGACACTTAAGGGTTACTGGGTAATTTACTATCCCCAAGAGGACAGACTTACAGGGTAGGGAAAGAAGAAAAAGGGAGGAAAGAGGAGGGGAGGGGAGGGGAGAGGAAAGGAGGGGGGGGGGGGGAGGGGGGGGGGGGGGGGGGCAGGGGACCAAGATAGACTTG